CCATTTCTCTGCCCTTGCCTGTCTCCCCAGTTCCACACCCAAAAGAAAATCCACCTAGACCAATTGATAACCACTGGGTACAGCGATCTGCAGGAAGGCGTCTCCCCTGGCAGGGATCACTTTCTGCTGGACAGGAGGTAAAAGAGGAGGGCATCACTATTTAGTGGCAGTGCTTCTTAAGGACATGTGGGCTTCCATTAATGTGATTTAGTAGATTTTGTCACTTTCAAATGGAAAGCTCAAGTTTTTGCAACTAAGCTCATTCAGTATTTTACTATCTCCAAAAGCACAGTAAATATGAGGGCACTCAGTAATTACTACACTCCGAGGTGGAGAAAAAAGTTGTTTCCCTGCCCTACTTTGGCTGAACAGATTTCTAAACATATGCCTAAGCATGTAATTTATTTAAAAATTATGTATTGTAGAATGTGGGAAAATAAGATTTTTCAAACCTTAGGACGTGATCAGGTAGCACTTGACACTTTCAATGGTGGTCACAGGGACACGAGGTGGAAGGACAGCAGGTTAGCATTGACTGGCCTGGTTGCTATCTGTATCAGTCAGCTTCATGTCAGTCTAATGAAGTAGTCCACACAGAGTACTTAGGAAAAAGAGGTTGACATAGTTCACAGTTTGAAGGGATGTGCTACTTTCTTCATTATCAGTCTCACTAGATGAAGAACCTCTTGAAAAGGTGACAAGGTCATAAGAGTGCTGTGCTCTTCTGTGAATTCACTAACACTAATAGCTCCCCTGAGCTACTGGGGGTGGGTCACTGGCATTATCTGTTACTGGTGGCCTGCCCCTCTGCTCTACTTCCAGGGGAAGGGAAAAGGGGAAGGGAATGAGAATAGGAAGGGGGGGAGGGGAGGGGAGGGGAGGGGAGGCCTAGCACATCCCTCAGCCATCCTGTTTCTGCCTTGGAGCCAGCCAGCCAAGAACCAAAACCCATGAAACTGAGCCAAATTAAATTTCTCCTCTAATTTAAGGGTGTTGGGTATTTTGTCCTAGAAACTAGGAAGCTGATTAATACAGGAGTGAAAGTTCAAATGGCAATGCACTGGCTCATGGGGAGGGCTGCTCTGTCACATCAGAGAGAGAGTAGTGGTGGGAGTTTGTATGACTGCATCTTGGGCAAGGGCCAGAGAGAAGAGGAGGGAGAGGACAGGATCCATATATAACAACAATGGTGAAGTTTCAGAGGACTGCATAAGAACTACCTTCCAAGAGCACGCCACCAGTGACTGAAGAATCTCCCACTACAGATTCCAGACTCATCCCAGAAAAGGATCCAATCCTTTGCGGTTCTAAATTCCTGATGGGTCTCTGGCATGTGACATTACCCAGGAATGCTGTATCTTGCATACATTGGCAATGACACCTCAAAAGTATTCTCCTGGTCTCTTAGACAACTGGTCTTTCGAAGACGAACGTTAAAGCATAATTTTAAAGTTTTATATGGAAAGGACTGCACTGAACACTTACCCAACTAAAAATCTTGATAAAATAAGATGCTACAGATAATGAGTACCAGAGGGTGTAGATGGAATCATTCTCAATTAAGAAGTTACTACTTTTCTGAGACTGGGCGTGGTGGTGCGCTTGTTATCCCAGCACTTGGGAGGCTGATAACAGGAGGATCACTATAAATCCAATCTGTGTAGTGAGACCCTGTAGACCCTGTACTAAATACATTTTTTTTTTAAAAAAAATTACTACTTTTAATCTTTATGGAGAAAGAGAGCACTACTGTATCAAGTCTCACTTTAAAATGTCACAAATCACTAGAAAAAGATATAGTAACTACTAATTTTATTGATGGTACTGGAGGTTTTGTATAAGGTGACACTTGTTATTAATTCATTTCTCATTTCATGATTTGTCTCTTTATGAAAGCAGCACTGTTAATTTTTGGAAAAGAACATAGCTTCAGGTTCAGATTATGGTTTTTCTATTACTTCTGACAAGCTGCTAACATTCAGATTAATTTCTTACACTTTTATTACTGCAATTTATCAACTGCCATGGCAGAATATGGCATGAAAAAGAAATTTCAGAAAAAATGTGACTTTCTGTATTAAAAGAGAACGAAAGCTCTAGTAAGAAAGGGCCTACATTATTATTAAAGCTAAAAAGTTAAAGTGAACCGCTCATTCACGGTTCTCAAGATTTAACTAGACTTTTCTCATTTGTCCCACTGTTGTGACCCCACAGGATGAAATTAAATGGCGGTTAACATGAAACAAGTATGGATGATATGTAACCTCCACTTTTCCTATGCCTTTCTCCTTTTTTCTCAAAGAGTTACCTATACCTTCAGTAAGAAAGGCAATTTGGAAGGTATTCACATATGATGAGATCATGTAATAACCAGTGTTTTATTAAATACTTGGTATTTGCCATGGATTGAGCTAAACACAAATTACCTTAAAAGAGAAGAATTGTCTTAATAAATTGTCTTAATGGCAGACAATTCTGAGATGTGTTTTTATTTTACGTATAGAAAAGGAAACTAAGGTTTAGCAAAATATGTGGCCACTAATGGTGTATAATCAGGTAACATGATAAGGTACTGAATGTAACCACATCTAGGGTCAAGACTGATTTCTTTCCGAAGCTAGAAACACAACTGGTTAGATACTATAGAAAAGTTTGGTCCGCCTGGCATTGGCAGGCTTTACACTAATAATACTGAAGCAGTCCACTTCACTTATTAAAGAGTAATTGCTACTTATGCTTGCTCACATCTTTAGTGACTCAGACGTATATTAACACATAATAGGAAATAAGAGTTAAAAGGATTCCTGAGGTAAAGCATGTGTAATGTGGGAGGCTATTGGTTTATAAAAAAAATCTGAAAAATTGCAGTAATGCCCCAGGGAGGCACAGTGGCACTTGTGTTGTATGTATGTGTGAGGGGACAATTTGGTCTTTGTTATACAGTACTGTCCTTTATGTTACAATACATTCAGTACCCGTTATCTTTCCTCCCATCAAACACCCAAGTTTCCTCAATACTTGGGACCATTCATTATACCTTTACACATCTTCCCTTGACCCTGACTGAGTACCACTGAACGCTGAAAAAAGTATCAGGAGAAAACTGCCCTTAATTGGGTTTCCAGTAGCAGGTACTCCACTCACTCTATTCACACACGTTCAGTCTTTGTAACTTCATGTGGGCTGAATGCACACTTTATCCCCATTTTACAGGCGTGGACTCTCACACTCAAAACAAGACTACATAATTTAACTAAAAATACCGCCAGCTTTGAAACCAACAGTCTGGCTGGCTCGAACATAATATTACCTAGGTTGGTCCTTCAAGCTATAACGATGTAGTAAGTATAATCTTCCTTTGAAGATCTTTCAGAAAATATCAACTGTTTTAAATTGAAGCCAAGGTGTATTTATGTGTTGTTAGGAACCAGGGATCAATTAATCCCTGGTTAGGTTGAGGGGCCATAGGGTCAGGGGTACAGTCACATGGTGCAGGTTTCAAGAGTTGGGCTGGTCAGCTTCTTTCAACTGGTACAGATCTGAAGTGCTCTGAGCATGTAAGAGTGCATTTTTGAGTAAGGGAGTTGTTATGTAGTGTGAGGTTTACATGTTTTAACACACACTGCATATACAAGGTACCAGGCACCATTATAACTGCCTGGCAGGATCTCATTTGGCATGCATGTTAAAAGGATGAACGCACTGGGTGTGCACACTGGGTGTGCACCGGGTGACGTGAGGTTGGGCTACGGTCCGCATACAATGTGCACAGGTGATAGGAAAGATCAGTCTTGACGGCTGTTGGTGTGTCGTTCCGGTATATGTGTGTGTTCCAACTCTAGTGTTCGTGGCGGGGGGAAGGGTAGATCTCTGTGCCATACCTATGGGAGGCGCTGCAGGGGAAACACCCCGTGGTATACCTCACATGGGTGTGAGTGAAGTTCCACGGAGGAAGAGTCCTAGTTGTGTTCCCGGCCTGGGTAAGGTGCGTGTAAGCTCTGTGAATTGGGGCACTTTGTGTGCGTAGTGGCATGAGCGGCAAGTGGTGCACACGAGGTGATTCGTGCGGGGTGCTGGGTACGAAGGGGACTGAAGGGGCCGCAGAGGAGGGCGCCATGTGGTGACGCGCAGGGAGCGATGCTAAAGGCGGTGCGCGCGCGCAGGGGTAGTGCTGGGTGATCCGCGAGTGCTCGCGGGTAGCCGAGCACGCAGAACAGGCAGGTGGTCGGTCATCAGAGGTAGGGTGTGGGGGACTGGGGCAGAGGCTGGGTGTCCTGCCGGAGCCTCGCAGTTGCAGAGCCGCGTGGGCGGCGGGTCTGCGGGTGTTTGCGTGCGCGAGGCTCAGCCCGGCCTCTCCCCACCACCTCCTCACCTGGTAAATGCGAAGTACATGAGGCTGACGATGGTGAAGCTGAGCAGGGTGATGGTGTGCGGCCGGTAGAAGAAGTCGATGGTGATGTCCTCCACTTGCTGCTCGTTGATCATCCGGAAATGCATCTTGTAGTTCACATCATCCTTGCTCAGGGTCCGGCTCCCCACGCAGGCCGCCATGGCCCGCCTCCCCGTGCTGCCGCGGAGGCTGCGGTCCCGGCCCGAGGAGGCTGGGACCGCTGGGGAGACGAGCCGCGGCGGGCGCGAGGCCGGGCAGCAGCGAGGCCGGGTTTGGCGGACTGGCTGAGACTGTGAGCGCAGGGAGTGCAGCGAGGGAGGGCGGGGTCGTGACGCCACCACCGCGGCCCGCGCTGCGGGGGACGCCGGCTGTGTCCGGGCGGGACTGTGGGCACAGTCATCTATGGGTGCTCCGCCAGCCCCCACACTCGCGCGGCATGAGGCTCGAGAGGAACACGGGCGGGAGCAGCGAGGGCGCTGTAGCCCCCGGCGGCCGGCTCCGTCCCCGGCGCGCGCAGCCCTCCGCGTCGCCCCCCCCCCGCGGCTGCGGGATGGTTTCGTCCACTCGGAGCGCGGCCCACGTGGGCTGGGAGTGCGGCGCCGAGGCGGCCAGCGGGCGGGCCGGGAACCCGAGCCCGGAGCGTGGGCTTCGCGACAGGTAAAGCGAGGGCGTCCGGCCTGGGCTTGGAATTCCAGCGGCCCGGGCCTCACGGCCTTGGGGGCCTGGTAGCCCGTGCACGGGGCTTGGGTTTGTCTCGCTGCCCGAGGGGAGCACCGGCGGCCATGCTTGTTTGTGAGCCGCTCTGGGTGTCAGCTGGCTTCCTGCGGAAGTTCCCCGACGAGGCTAGAGGGACCCGTTCAAAAGGCCCCGCGGGCGACCGCGGAGCTGAGCCCCGTAATAAGGTGCCACCTCTTCCTCCCCCTTGGCTTCTGAATTGACTTACAGTTACCGAGGTAGAAATCTTGAAGCTTGACAGTCCTCCCGTTCCCGACGAAGGGCAAGGCTGACTGTTGAGAACACTGTGCGCAGTGTTAATAGGCCACTGTTTGCCTTTTTCTTTCTTTTTAAAAGTACGTGGGACTAAAACCGCGGCTTTCACAGTGAGTTACACCCCCAGCCCACGCATCCATAAGTTGCCGAGTTGTCCAAACTGGGCTGGCGTGTGCGGTCCTGCCTCAGCCTCCCAGAATGGGCGCAGGAGGCGAGCCCCGCCACCCATGCCAGGCTTAATCTGCAGATGCCTCACTTACCTCCTTACTCCAGAGTGAATTTGGAATTTCAGGATTTTTTTGAAGTGTGACTAAATGTGTGACGAACTTGGATGTCCCAAAATTGTTGATAAGGTCCCAAAAAGTATATTTTGTACACTTAACCTTTTCAAAACATATTCTGAGGTGGGGAGTGTAACTCAGTGCTACAGCTGTGGCCCTGAGTTCTACCTCTAATACCACAAATATATATATATATACATATATATATATATATATATATATATATATATATATATATATATGTATATATATATGTATGTATATATATGTGTGTATATATATATATATATTTATTTATTTTTATTTTTAAATTTTTTGGTCTTTTTGAGACAGGGTCTTGCTATATAGTTGAGGCTGGCCTTGAAGGGATCTTCCTGCTTCAGCTTCCGAAGTGCTGGATCACAGGTGTGCAGGTGTCCAGCGAGATTTTTCACTTTTATAAATCTCTTTCAGCAAACTTCCCAAAGCTACAAATCTTCAAGAGAGTACACCCTCAAGTATTTAATGTAATTCAAAGGATAAAATACGTTGAGTTCCGCCATGGAGCAAAACAGCAGGAAGTTGTGTTCAACAGTTAATTCATACAATCAATGGATTTGGCTGGCTGGACAATAAATAATGGCTAATAATTATTTACCATTTACCCTATGCTGGATTCAGTACTGTGTTTCATATGGGCTTAACATCATTTTATGCATCAAATTTACCATTCTAATTAGCTAGCAAAATATGTAAATCTTTCATATTCTTGGAGTTTGAAATAGCAATAGCCAGTTTGTTAAAAACAACTACTTTTTCAGTCAGTGTATGCAGTTACACATTGCTGGTTGCTCCCTTTTTTTGCTATTTTGACCTTTTCTTTGAAGGTTTTTCTTTTTTTCTTTCCTACAATAAAATGCAACTTGACAAAACCAGTTTTGTTGAATTTTCTTTTGAAAAACAGCTTTATATGGAGGAATAATCAACAATGTTCAACTCTGAGAACTAAACAAGACTCAGCCTTCAGTGTTCTATAATATTGTGACATTTTTAAGACAGAGTGGATTTCCTCTATTTTGTGATTAATTTATAGGCATAAAATTCATTTGAATAACATTTTGATCAGCAATGTACTTCTTAAATGTCCTTCAAACCAAATTCCAAGTGCACTGTCATTGCAACATTGTGTTTTCCTTAAATTATTAAATTAACATGACTTGTAATTTGAACATTTATAAATTTTTGTTCTAGATGTTTTTCTTTCACCAATGATTTTGTTTTTATTTTCAAATTCTAAAGCATAGCCTTGTTTTTCCAGTTAAGACGCTCTTGTCTTTTGGCTTCCTTGTTTGTGGCTTTTCCTGTGTGTGAAAAACATTTCATTACTTTCATCATCTAAATTTATTTAAACACTTTCATTTAGAAAAAATAATTTCCAATTTGTCTTTTTGGTTTGTGATCATTATTTTGGACATTTAAGTAAATTGAATTTCTCTCCTTTTGACGGTTGTACTTTTTCTTTGTAGACTACTTTAAGAAAAATGGCGCTATCAGCCCAACAGATACCCAGATGGTTCAGCTCAATTAAATTGAGGCGCTTCATTAATGTTACACAACTCACAAAACGTTTTCCCAGACCAGGAAAAACATTGTTAAATGGCTCTTGTGCCTGGCCACAGCTGTCCTCTGATAATTACTTTCTCCAGTGGGGATATAAGACTTACAGAACTTCCTCCTTGTGGAATAGTTGCCAGTCTACCAACTCAAGTAGGCAAGAGAGTAATTCTGCCCAAAGCACTCTGCTTCCTTCGGTGAATGAGCAGTCAGAGAAGATACAAAAGATACACAGCTTTGATTCTGATCTGTTTCTGGAAGGTAATTCTGAGTTTTCAGCAAAGACCCTCTTTGTCCTGTTTGATAGTATGAAAAACTTGTTTACGTTGTTTGAGCCCCTTTCAGGTCAAATTTTGTACCAGACAAGAAAAGGAACAATGCCAGTTCTATTCATTTACTTCTGTTAGACATTTATTTTACTGAGATCTTTATGGGTAAATGTGTATGATTGTCCTATAGCTTATGTAACATTGCTTCCTAAATGAGTCACTAGATTATTTTAATTTTCTTCTGACTCAATTTATTAGAGTATATTGAACATCAGGTAAAATCTGTCTTTTGGGGTCTACGTTCTGTGAATTTTTACTTACACATTTAGTTGTGTAACAACCAACATAAAACAGTGGAATCATTACATCATTCCCCAAAGTTCCCTTGTCTAGGTTTTTAGTTGGTCCTCTCTTTCCTGTGTTTTTTCGTCTAGGAGTTGAGTATTGTACCACAAATAAGATAATATTTGGCTGAGTAGAAGATGAATAAAAAGCAAGCAAGCTAGCCAGGAGAGAAAGGACAAAAGGCTAGCTATGAAAATTGAGGAAGGGCAGTAGCGAGTTGAGGCAAAAACAGAAAAAGGTCACAATTCTGATTTATAATTCCAAGGCTCTTCTAAACTGGGTTTTTAAGGGTTTTTAGTTTTTTTGAGACAAGGTCTCGCTATGTAGTTAAGACTGGCCTAGAACTCACAGAGATCCTACTGCCTCTACCTCCCTGGGATAATAGGCATGCACCACCTTGCCTGGCGTATACTGTATTTTAATAAGAAATCAAAACTTTAGAATCAATTCTCTATGGAAGCGGGCCCACAGCAAGGTACTGCAGATGATGGAAACAAACTTTCTCTTATAGACAGTTGAGAATAATTAGGAGGAAAAGAGGAAACAGCTTCAAAACCATGCATGTTCAGGATGTCGTGACTTTAACCTTGCAATTCAAGCTGTTGAAATTGGTACTTTTGGCCAAGTTAACAAGCTACAATATATTTAGTCACTCAAAATGTGCTTGAAGGAGCAGACTATTGTGGTGCACACCTGTAATCCTAGTACTTCAGGAAGATGAGCCAGGATGTTTGCAAATTTAAGCTCAGCCTGGGCTATTTATTTAGCAAGACCTTGTTTCAAAATTTAAAAAAAAAAAAAAATCTAAAAAGGGCTGGGGATGTAGCTCAGGCTAAATGTCCAAAATTCATTCCTTCATACCAAAAGAAAAAAAAAAATGCATGAAGTGCAGTTACTCTTACCTGCTGATGAAAAGTGAGAAGAGTCCCATGCCTTGAAATTTAACCAAAGAAGTTTTTGTCTTGGAGGAACAATAGTTGTTCTAAGTAGTCTTAATCTTACCTCTTAGAAGGTAGAATTTTTTGAACTTCTTAAATATTTAGTTTTGTAATGATCCCAAGCTTTGCCCAGTGGGATACACAGAGGTTGGTCTTTGTAGAAAGAGTTGTAAGTGTGTACATTAGAGACCTAACTTGCTTCTCTCTTTCCACATGGCTGGCCTCAAAAGAACTGGACGATTTGCCTCCATTGTCTCCCTTGCAGTCAGTTTCTGAGGAGGAAGCTATTCAGATTATTGCAGCGCCTCCATTACCTCCAGCTTCATTCACACTTCAAGACTATGTAGATCATTCTGAGACTCTGCAAAAGTTAGTGCTTTTGGGTAAGTTTGAATAACCTATGAGTATTTGAGTACACACTTCTCTTTTTTTTTTGCCCCACTTTTACAATTAACATTTTATTTATCAAAGTAGTCTGTTCATATGAGCAAAAGTCTTAACAGTGAAAAGGCCTGCAGTGAAAAGCCATATTCCCTGCTTTGTTCTTGACTTTGCACCCCATTCCCTTTTCTCTTGCAGCTTGTATTTAATCTCCACATTTTTAAAGCAATTGGTCAATTTCTGATAGGTACACATAAACTTTTGCCAGAGTCTCTTCTGTTCTTCCAGTAGGTAAAGTTTTTTGAGAAATCATTAATCAATGATTATATTCTGAGTACAATATTAGTATTCGTAACCAGAAGTGTACTAGTAATTTTCTTTGTACAGCTTTTTGTTTTCCTGGGATTAATAATTGCCTTGTTTTTCATTTGATTAGTTTTCCTTCTGTCAAGAGTTAAACAGTGTGCGTGTGGTGGCACATGCCTGTAATCCCAGCACTGGGGAGGTTGAAAACAGGAGGATTACTTCTCGTCTGAGCTGCATAAATACAGCTTATCAAATACATAAATAAAAAGCAAACAAAAAAGTTAAATTTCCAAACATCTGCACAAACGGATAATGCGATAGATAGATACTGTTGGTCAGTATGTGGTTTCCATTTGCCACACTTATCCCTGACCTCTGCCTCCTGTGGCCTGTTGTCCTGATTTGAATAATTTCTCTAGATTTGTTCTGTAACTACTCTAATGTACATAACTCAGCTTATTGACTAGTAAGTTGTACTTAGAACTGGGTAGTTAAAAGGCAACCAGTGGATTGATCTCATTGCACACTTTCATTTAGTTGTCTTACTTATAATTAAGCACCTTCTTTGCAAATTCCTACTTTTCTCATTACATCTGAGTTTGGCATGTCTCTTATGTGATTTTTTTCAATAATGAACCTCCTTTGTCTTGAGGGATTGAGAGAAACAGAATAGGTAAGGGATTTGGGGGGTTGAGTAGGGTGGGAGATCCTGAGTCCTTTAAAAATGGTCAGTACCCAGCCCCTATTTTCAGCCTGAAACTCCATTCTAACACTTTAGGTCTCTAGGACTCCCATTTCTGAGCTTTTTGAGTTTTTGGTACAGGTAGAGCATCTCTTATTCAAAATGGCTGGGTCCAGAAATGTTGCAGATTGTTGAGTTTTTCAGATTTTAGAATATTTGTATAGACTATGGCTTGAACACTTAATCTGAAAGTTTGAAATCTGAAACTTGGCACCTTACCCTGTTCTGGTTGATTTGCCGCTTGTCAGCAATCTGAGTTGCAGACATTTTAGGTTTTCCTTTCTCTTCTCTCAAGTCTGTTATCACTGTTCCTTTTTTTTTTTTTTTT